TAACTGATCAATATGTCTAGTAGGTAAGTTCTTCGAGGTTTACATTGAGGAGGTTCGGCAATTGCTTTTGGCACTTTTGTATATGGTACAATATATGTACAATATATGTCGTTTAATGCAGGAATAAATAAAAGCATGGAAAATCAGTCATAAGCATTTATAGAAAAAGGGAATTTTTTTTAGTAGTAAAGCTATACAATATTACAGACCATATATTACGGAAATTCTCATGTATCAGTATGAGCGAAAAAAAAAAAAACGAATGAAAATACTTTTTTTAAACTCAAGCCAGAATCACTTTGACATTGTAAAAAAAAACAAAAAACAGTAATCATGATGAATATGAATTGCAATTCAATGCATCTATTTCAGGAAAAAAAGGGAAAGACCACAGAAATGAGAACACGTTTACCTGTCTTGAAAGATGGTTCCACCACCTTATCACCACACAATTTAAGGCCACTGAAACTAGATTATTTGTTTGTCAACAGTAGATAAAGAAAATGTGGCGATTTTTCCACGTCATTATGGGCGGACATTTCACATAAATATTGTGTTTGAGCTGTGCTGCTCCAATTTGCCCCAATTTGGCTCTTTAGATTTGGATCTTGGCATTATGTTAAATACAAGAGATTATGGTATATAAAGTCTGGCAATGTGTGTGTGTGTGTGTGTGTGTGTGTGTGTGTGTGTGTGTGTGTGTGTGTGTGTGTGTGTGTGTGTGTGTACATATTATTCAGTAAATTAATTACTTCATTTAAGCGATTTTTTAAATGATAAGATGTTAGTTAGATTCTCGCTATTTTACTCACAAAACAATATTTTTTGAGAAAAATATTAGATACGGTGCCACTATAACATGCTGGTGCTGATAGAAACAACTAAATTAATTTCACTGGCCAAGTGGTGAACTTCCCTTCCTTAGCCAACTACCACTTTCATTTGTTTACTTGATCTTTGCAAGTCCCCACAACGGCCGTCTTCACTGGGATCGTCGAATAAGCACTTGTAACCGCTTTCAGATGAAGAAGACAGCAGACAAAGTTTACAGCAGATGTTTTCTCGACAGGAATTTTCCGCCTGTCGTAGGAAGAGATAAAGTTATTGTTATCATAATTGTATTATTATTCCCTTTCTTTTACAATTAATTATCAGAGTTGTACTACTACTAATACTATTACTATTTTCCTTATTATTATTACTACTACTATTACTATTATTAACATCATTATCATTATTAACATCATTATTATAGCTCTCATAAACATCATTCTTTATTATTATCATAATCTTGATCAATGCTATCTATGAAACACCCAACCATACAGAGGCTTACCTCAGAGAACATATCAGGATGGTAAACCACAATGCCATACGGTGTTCTCTCTTGCCATCGTGTTAACTTCTTCTGGTTACCGCAGTCTTTCTTGTCACAGGTCCACACCTACAGTGAATATACAGCACATTTTGTGATGAAATCTCAAGGAATAGACGGTTTTCGGTTGGGGTATTTTAATAGAAGTGGATCAGTTATACGATAAACTTTTTGTGGTGAAATCTTACCATGTATATCAAGCCATTTAATTAGAGAAAAATGTAACGACAAATAAATATATACATGTATATATATTATATATATATATATATATATATATATATATATATATATATATATATATATTATATATATATATATATATATATTATATATATATATTATGTATATATATATTATATATATATATATATATATATATATATATATATATATATATACACACATACATACATACATATATACATACACACAAATGTAGTGTCTACAAACTCGGGACGTTCGGACTTTGGGAATTTGACGATATAGATTGTTGAATGGCCAGTGGGTACTCCAGTAGCTGCCACAAAAGGTGCTGTGTAACTGTCCTACACCTCAGCCTATGGACGGCTCTATGGGAATCCTCATATCCAGAACGTGTATATAATCGAGTGACTTATCTCTTTCTCTCTCTCTCTCTCTCGGCAATATAAACATGACTACATGAAACCCCTTTCTCTCCCTCCATCTATCTCTCTCCACTCTCTCTTCCTCTCCTCTCTCTCCCTTCCTTCCCTCTCTATCTCCTCCTTTATCTGTCACTCTCTCTCTCTCTCGGCAATATAAATAAACATAACAAAATAGTCCTCCTCTGTTCTTTCTCTCTCTCTCTCCCTCTCTTCCTCCCTCTCACCCACTCTCTCTTTCAGCAATACTAAAAAATGACTACATAACCCCCATATCAAATTGGTTAAACGTTCAATAGAAATGTCAGTATGACATATGCACACTGATTCATAAATCCATATAGGGTGATTGCCCTCACTGGTTAATGCCTTTAGAAAGGATTTATGAGAAAACAGGCATTCAAACCAGGCAGATTAACCCTTTACACATCAAGAGGTCATACACAGAAACGGTCAAGACGCATCCTTAAAATTGCCAGTGGCATCAAGCATTTAAATGCAAAGACTTACCATGTACCTCTATTTCTAGTGATGTGGCCAATTCATTTTACCTTATTTTGTAGCTCCGCCACTAATGAACTTGATATTATTTATACTTTCGTATTACTATACACTGACACTACCAATAAAAATAAGGACCTTTGTGATAAATGGAATAAGTGATTTGACTCTCTTTCAAGTCATCAATTCTTTAATGTCTCTAACTTTATATTTATTCTTTCCCCTGCATTTTTATCTCTCCTGCAGTCAAAACATTCTTCACAGATAATATAAAACTATAATTCCATTGAGTTATAATTTATATAAGGCATATACATCATAGAAAATTTTCTGTTTTCATGAAACAAATATAATATATATATATATATATATATATATATATATATATATATATATGTGTGTGTGTGTGTGTGTGTGTGTGTGTGTGTGTGTGTGTGTGTGTGTGTGTGTGTGTATGTGCAGGCTACTGATCTCATTTTTTCAGGATACAGTGTTTACGCCCGAAAATAGTGCAGATGTACGTAGAGGTTTCATTTTTTTAGTTTGTAAATTATATTTTCCTTGAATTATTGATGCAAATAGTTTTGAGAGGTGCAAAAGAACACCCATTGCTGGTGACTTTCGACTGTTAAGCCATTCATATTACATATTGATTAAAATATGAAATATTCTAGCTGGCATCTGTGGAGCTCGACCCCCAGCTCAGTGAAGGGCCCTGGCCGTCGAAACAGTGTCACGCATGCTAGAAGGACGGAGGCCGAGCTTGTTCTCAGAACGTCACGGGCTTGTAGAAAGAAGATGACAGTTATATATATATATATATATAATATATATATATAATATATATATATATATATATATATATATATTATGTGTGTGTGTGTGCGTGTGTGTGCGTGTGTGTGCGTGCGTGCGTGCACACACACACACAATGTGTGTTTCAGTGTGTCAGTCACAACTCTACTAAATATTCTAAATAAAAGCACAGCCAAAACAAAACCATCTGCCACTTACTTGGTCAGTTATCCAATCTGTATAGTACAGTTTGTTCGCCCACAAAGCCATGGCGTAAGGGTGCTTGAGCTCAGCGTTTACCAGTTCCTACAAAACAATGATAACAAATATCCAGTTAATTATTGATACCTAAATTGATTCCAGCAGCGCCATCCTCATCCTCAATTACAATTGTAGCTATTATTGTAAAAAACATATGGGCATAATTTTGCTTTTGTTTCTACAGAATAGCCAAAATCGAACTCAAACGCTGAGGTAATAGAAAAAAAAATCTTAGAACTGACATTTCCTCAGATTTGGAAAGGTATTAATGAGAACGAATATCTTCACAATACAAGAGATGTATTTAACCAGTTTCGATTATATCTTCGTCAGAAATACATTTCCAAGATGTATTTCTGACGAAGATATAATCGAAACCGGTTAAAGACATCTCTTGTATTGTGAAGATGTTCGTTCTCATTCATACCTTTCCACATTTGTCAACATGAATACGGTTCATTTCCTCAGATGTGCCTTAAGAATCACGTGCTTACGATCACTAAATGTTTGTAACAGTTTGTAACAATAATAAACTTTACATTCCTATTTATTATTATCGTTAATATTAATATCAGCACCATCATCATCATTATTACATTATTTTATTCTTGTTATTTTTATCATTATCATAACTATTTCTATCATTATCATTAATGTTATCATGACCATCATTATTATCATCCTCATTATCATGATCACTATTATTATTGTCATTACTGTTATTATTATCATTATTATTATAGTTATCATTATCATCAAATTATTATTTTATTATCACTGTTATTTCTATTACCATTATCATCAACATGACTATCTTTGCTACTATTGTTACTATTACTAGTATAATCATTAGCAACATCATAATCATTATCATCATAACTATTATCATAATTATTATTATCATTATGGTAGTGGTCGCAATCATAATGGTTGTCATCATTTAGTAAAATTGACTTTAAATTCCTTTATACATTTATTATTATAATCACTATTATGATGATTAT